TGTTTTATTTTTATTGTGAAGGTACATCCTCAGTCTTTCAAAAGCATGGTTTGGCTTGTGATTATCTTTCACTTTTTTTTAGAGCAATTTTTGTGAAACCATGTGTAAGTCAAAATTTCGTGTTATTTTTAAATATGAGTTCCGTCATGGAACCAACACAGCGCAGACAGCTCGAAATATCAACGAAGTGTTTGGGAAGGATGTGGCTAATGAACGCATAGTACATCGATGGTCTGAGAGGTGTTCCATAGTGGTGATTTTAATCTTGAAAATAAGCCATGTGGGTGACCTGAGACCAAGGTAGATAATGATGAGCTAAAAGCTGTAGTGGAAGCGAATCCATCTCAACCTATGCATGAATTAGCAGCAAGGTTTGACATTACTATTCCAACAATACTGGGCCATTTGAAACAAATCGGCAAGGTAAAGAAGCTGGATAGATGGGTACCACATGAATTAAACCATCATCAGAAGAGAAATCATCTCAAAGCTTGCCTTTCTTTGCTGTCATGACATAAAGGCGAACCATATCTACACCATATTATTACATGTGATAAAAATGGATTCTTTTTAACAATAGCAAGTGTTTGGCACAAAGATGAAGTGCCAAAACACAGTCCAAAACCAAATATTCATCAAAAAAAGCTAATGGTGTGTGTTTGGTGGTCCAGTACTGGTATTATCCACTACAGCTTCATGAAACCTGGCTAGTTGATTACAGCGGATGTCTACTGCAACCAGTTGGATGAAATGATGAGGATGTTTGCAATTAAGCAGCCTAGATTGGTCAGTAGAGACAAGCCTCTCCTCTTGCAGGACAATGCTCAGCCACATGTCGCACAGTGCCACTCAAACTCTGCAGAGGCTGGACTTGGAAACTCTCTGTCATCCACCATATTCACCAGACCTTGCACCAACCGACTACCACTTCTTCCAGGCTTTGGACCACTTCTTTCAAGGAAAAATATTCAGTTCTCAACAAGCTTTGGAAAACGCCTTTCACAACTTCATTGCCATTCTCCAGTCTTCTTTGCTGCTGGCAAAAACAAGCTACCGTTAAGATGGCAAAGCCTTGTCATACTTTAGGCACACACTTTGATTAATTGTACTGCTTCTTGTTTGAGATATAATAAACTACACTTTTGATTAGAAATTGGACATTTCATATTTAATGACCTAATATCTTTTTATACTCCTGTAGTAGCCCTTTGCACGTGCCTCCTCTACAGTGCTGATATAGGTTTGGATTTATGGTTTTACACTTAAGGGTGCCAGGAGAGCCAAAAATGGGGAACCTTGGCTTGACTGGGTAGAGAGAGGTCAGGAAAGGATCTTTTGAGGATGGAGTATAAGTTAGCCAGCCAATGGGAGGGTTGGAATCCTGGGTGTGGGAATAGCACGTGCAAATGCCCAGAGGAGGGAAGGAGCCTGGTACATTCTAGGAATTTAAGGAAGACCAGGGTGGCAGAGGGTAAAGCTGGAGATTGGTGAGATGGGCAGAGGTCAGATTCCAAGGGCTTTGTAGATTATTTTACAGATTTTTAATTTTAGCCTAAGAGCAGTGGAAAGCCTGTCTAATATTGTGCTTAACTCTGAGTACTTCCTTTTAGAGAGATGTTGATATAGGAGTAAAGGGATGATAAGGGATCTAAACTCCGTATCCTGTTTGGAATACAGTCCAAAGAAGAAAGAAAAGGGAGTTATGTAGTATAATATGAAGGAATGTTATGCACAAGAGGAAGTAAGCTTGTTCTGTGTTGCTGCAGAAAGCATACCTCAGACGAATACGTTAGACGTTCAGGGAGGCAGATACTGCCTCAATGTCATAAACAGCTTCCTAATCCCTAGAATTGGTCATAAACGAATGGGCTGCCTCATGGGATGCAGGAGGTGTGCAGGCAGAGGCTGCAAGGCCACCTGCTAAGGAATGTATAACAAATTCCAGGCATGGTGGGAATGGCCTTTAGGAGTTTTTGTGGTCCAAGAGTCTGTGGGTCTATGAATCAGGTGACATTTGCAAATTTCTTACTGTCTTGCAAATGGGTCAACAGATGTGAAACTTCATCTCTTTCTTTAATCTGAAAATTCATAAACTTGGGACTTTGTAAAAATAAATTTGTAAAATGAAATTGGTATTTTATTAATATTAAATATTTTAAGTTATATTTATTGAATTACTTATATAAAGGAATCCTTTGGTTGCCAGGAACAAAGAACTGTTGTTATTAGTAGGTTAGTCTGCAGCTGACAGGCATGGTGAAGAAAGCCAATGTGTAAACCCAAGTCATTATTTCAAGCAAAGAAGAAAATAACATATTCTAAGAGAAACCAAAACTCCAGAATAACAAGCACTGGCTACTTAAGGGATGCTCTTATATTCATTTGTAAAGCAGAAGAGAAGGCCAAAGAAAATAGAGGAATTGGATGTTTCTTCTCCTAGGGGAAGTTTGGACATTATGCATTTAACCACGTTCATGTTATGGAAATAAGAAGCAGCAGTCAGGGGATAGCTAGTGGTGTGTACCCTGTAATCGGTGATCTGGTGAGGATTCGAAAGGCAAGGAGGGTTGGAAGTAATTGTAATAGAAGTGATGGATGGAGCAGCGTTTCTCATTTGGAATGGGAACGGCGAGTAGGAATTGTCTCCAGACCGCCTGAATCTGGAGGAGCAGCTTGAGGGGAGAGGATGACAGATCCAAGCACTAGGGTAGGAAGGTAATGAAAGCTTCTGCTTCCTGGGCATGAGCTAGGACGTGGCATCCCCCTCATCCCTCTCCCCTGCCTAGTCTCCAATGTGCTTTCCTCGTGGAGAGAAAAGATTTCATTTTCCCCCTACCCTTGGATAAATGGATTTCTAGGCATATGGATTGACTTAGTACGCACACTTCACAAGGTGGGTTCTTGCTCCCTTATAACAGATTCTGTTGCTTAACATTCAGCTCAAAAAATGTTTCTCTCTTCTTGATCCTCACCCTCATCTTGGTTGATTTGATAGTTAAGATGGATGGTGAGGTCTAGTGGAGGAATGAGGTTAGATTTTGTCTTTTTTTTTTTTTTTTCTTTTGGAAAAAGCTGAGTCAAAGATTCTGATTGCAAACCCTAAACTGTTGCTTGACATATGGGGCATAATGATCTCTGCAGGGAGAGATGCAATTCTGTGGGCAGTCAGGCTTCACTCTGAGGTCTGTCTTCATGGACTAATGCATCTCTTGTTGATCTTTCCTTTTGGGAACAACGCAGCAAGCAAAGGCTACCAAAAGGAAGTACCCAGCGTCCAGTGAGGCTCCCCCAGCAAAACGGAAGAATGAAACATCACTTCTCCCAGCCAAGAAAACTAGTGCTAAAGAAACTCAAAGGACTTTTAAGGGGAATACACAAAAAACGTTTTCTCCAAAGAAGTATTCAGTTAGCACAAATGATAGAAACCAAGAGGAGAAACGGTGCATTAAGACTTCATCGTTGTTTAAAAACAACCCTGAAATTCCAGAACTCCACAGGTATGTCCAGGTGCAGACGCACTAAAGGAATAAAAGGAATTGTGTTTTGCATTTTTCTTTGTTCATATGGGAACTGATGCCTGCGTTTTTGTTCATCATTTGCAGACCTGTAGTAAAACAGGTGCAAGAAAAAGTGTTTACTTCAGCTGCTTTTCATGAATTGGGCCTTCACCCACATTTAGTAAGTATCTCTCAATGTTTTATGGGTCAGTGTTTTTGGTGTGTTTGTTCATTTGGAGTGTCTGTGAAGTGACAGTTCTAGGAAGAGAAATGGAAGAATGTTTATTTCTGCTCCAAGTTATCTGAATGAACTCGGATTGATATGCTATCTCTTCTAGGACAATTCAAGTGTGCTTAGGTTACTGTTCACTATTTCTTGACCCCCACTTGTCCTCCCTCTTTTTTTTTTTTTTAAAGAACTGAAGACTTTCCTCACCTAATGCAATTTAGGACTGGGACTTCATTTATTGGACTTAACAGCTTCCTAATTACTGGGTACATGTGATATTGAAGCCATTCATGGTAGCAGATGTCACAATGACCACAGGAGAGGGAACTGTGTTGGCATCTTGCTGTTAGGGATGTCTACAGTTTTAGAGATTTGAAGGAAGATGAGCCTATTTTAAAATGCATTTTCTACAAACAAATGGATGCTTTTTTTTTTTAAACTGTGAATGAGTTTTTCAGGATTATGAGTAAGGAGGAAAAAACTTTTAGGCAGTCTTGATTTCCTTTGCTCATATGGTGATAGCTTACCTATCCCTTCTTTAGGTTACAGAGTTTCTCAACCTTGATACTATACGCATTTTTGGCTTGATAACTCTTTGTTTTGGGAACTGTCCTGTGCGTCATAGGATGTTTAGCAGTATCCCAGGGCTCTACCCACTAGGTGCCATTAGCATCCTCTCCCCCAATTGTAACAACTAAAAATTTCTCCAGACGTTGCCGCGTGTCCCAGGGGATTAGGAGGAATGCAGAATCACCCCCAGCAGAGAACCATCGGGTGGTAGAACTTAGTTTGATCTTGATTATCAGTGTCATCCCAATATTTTGTCCTTTTCTGTGTCATTTTCATCAAATATATTTGTATCAAAAAATTATTAAAGAAAAATATTTGTTTTTTTGTCTTCTCTTTTAGATATCCACAATAAATACGGTCTTAAAAATGTCTAGTATGACCCGGTAAGAGTTCCAAGCTAATCTTGATTTTCTTAGGGCTTAAGTGGGTATAACTAGATGAAATCTGCATTGTCTGTGGAGGGCAGAGCAGGTTCATTTCATGGTATTAGAAAAGAATGCCAGGTTATTGACCATAAAGGGCTTGTCATGTCACTTAGCCACTCAGTTTCTCCACCTGTTAAATGGAGGGACTGGTTTTCCATCCATTTCTGCTCTCAACTCTCAAAGTCATGAGATGTCTGGTCCAGAAAGTGTTCTGCATGAGATCCACTGTTGTCTCCTTCCCTGAAAATAATTTGACCAAAATATAGAATGTGATCATGTCATTGTTTAGTGGTAAGAATTAGGGTCAACCAAAATGACAGGAGTAAATGTTTGGTTGGATATAATGGGATACTGAAAAAATATTTTAAATGTCTGTTATAGTGATGACTCCTGGAAAATAGAAATAAAGAAGTAAAAGGTGTGGGGGGAGGTGAACTTTCTTGTTTTGAGGATGTATGTTTCTGTATGTTTTAATAATGATCACATTTTACTTATCAGTAAAAATTAATAATAATATTGAAGAATAAGTTAAGGAACTCCCTCACCAGTTTTTTTTGTTTTAAGAACCAACTTTAGATGATTTCTGTATCCTTTTTTTGTTGACTTTAAATACACATGTAGACATATATCTCGGTGTGTCCATCACCTATTCTTGGGGAGCGGACAGCTGCTGCTGGCTATCTGGGTAGCTTGCAAACTTCCTTTTGCTAATCTGCATGGAAATCTTTCCATTATGTTTCATTGTGTTCCATATTCCTGTTACAGAAGGCAAGAGAGTATATGATACGCTTTTGTGGCAACTCCAATTTGCTGTCCTGCCTTTCCAGTGTTTCAAAAAATTAGTTTAATAGAATGGCCAGTCTCTGACTTGCCTCACCATTTTCAGCTAAATTCCAGAAATTTAACTAGGGTTTTAGCCTTTTAATCATCAAAAGTTTCTTGGCACGTTCACTTGAATGTTTAGGTAACTTCTAAGGTGGCAGTTGACAGACAAACAAGAGTACGGGGCAACTGCATTTTAGGTAGCCTGTGTGTCTGCCTGTGAACATAACTGGATAGTATGGATAAGAAGTGTTCTTTCTTTTGGGTGGCCCCAGTGTTCAGAAGCAAACTATTCCTGCATTGCTGGAAGGCAGAGATGCTCTCGTGAGATCCCAGACGGGCTCAGGTCAGTCGTCATTTCATCTCCGCCCTTCCTGTGGTACCCAGACCCATGGTCATGCAGTAGGTTTTGTAGTTAGGTGCCTGTATTGGTGGTGTTGGCTGTTTTGTTTGGGGGAAGGAAGCCATGCTTGCTTTTGATTAGAGCCCTGACTTTGTTCATATAACGAAAGGAAGGGGGCAATTGATGGTGCCACGATCAGGAATGATTGGGAAGTCATCTGCTGTCATTTCCTCAGAGCCAATTTCAGTGCTTTGCCAAGTCCCACTATCTATGGCCAGAGCTGCCCATTCCCACTCTATTGGAGGATGAATATTTTTTCCTGGTATTAAACACAATGAAGTCTGGCCTGAGCACAGCTGATTGCGTGGCAGTCGTTGTGCTTGAGGATAGAACACTGTTTTTGCCGTGTTCCAGGCCAGTCTGGACTTGTTCTTCTGACCCCTGTGTGCCCTCCGTGGCAGGTCAACTGTTCTCCACTCCCACCAGCTTGGCCACCATTCAGGTAGCTGGAGACTGAAAGGTTTTGCCATCCTTTGATTTCTTGGTCTGGGGTTCAGACTGGCTCCTAACCAGACCAGCACTGCAGAGGACGTTTAATCGACCACTGAAGCTCATCTGAAAGGGTAGGGAGGACTTCAGAGGAGCAATTTTTAACTCCTGCAGACAACCATCAAGTTGAGCTTTTGGACAATTTGGGAAACATATTATTAATATCTCTCTTACTAGATAGATAAAGGAGCTGAAGCTTCAGATTTTTTAGAAGTACTGAATTTTCAAATTAAAATTAGTAATTGTGGCAGACAGAAGTCCCTTTTTACCACTCTTGGATGTATCATGGGCAGTTTACTTTTTCCCAGAATTTAGTACTACCCAAAGATAAGAGCCTGTTTCCTTTATGTCCTTTGCTTTTCTTACATCTGCAGGGTCTGTGATTTTAACTACTTTTGCACTTTTTTAAAAGGTAAAACTCTCGCCTATTGCATCCCTGTGGTGCAGTCCCTGCAAGCAATGCAATCAAAAATACAGGTGAGTGTGAAATGTGTTTTTCTGTTACTGCCTATAGTGCATAAGGAACCATCAGACTGAGCCATAGTAGTAATATCAGGGCTGACACAGTCTGTTTTCACTTGTTTTCTCATCTCTTTTTAATTCATTTATTACATAAACATGTTATATCTAAAGACTGTGCCTAGAGTGAAATAGAATAAATACACTTCATAGTTGTCATAGTAGGTATAATAGGGAGCATTTATAAAATGCTCCCCGTGTGTTAGACATCATGCTCAGTGCTTTTGCATCTGTTACCTTCTTGCATCTTTAACTGCCCTCTGCCCCACCGAGTTGTCGGTGTTACTGTTATCCCAGCCTTAACAAAGAGAAACACAGGCTTAGGAAAGTTAAATAAACATGCAGTGACCTTAGTTCTGTTTGGCTAGAGACTGAACTCCTAACTCTGTACCGTGCTTTTATGGTGAAATTTAATTACTGGCTCCTGTGCTATGTGGGGACTGTGTCTCTGTGCCTTGCAGCACCTAGCATGGGACCTCCTACAAAATTATCACTCAGTAAAGATCTCAAAATTATTTGATTTTGCAGCTGTCCATTTACGCTCTTGAGACTACGTTGTAAGTCTTGTAAAGAATTAAATTTCAACCTTCTATTCTAAGTTCCAACATATTGTTTACTTTTTAGTAGGAAGGCTGAACTTTATATTTAAAACAGTGGTTTGTCAGTGGTTTGAATAGATGTGAAAATAAGCACCCAATTCGTGAGCTTGACAATTGGACTGCCTTGTTTTTAAGAATTTGTCTTTAGTTGTCAAACATGTTTTGGTAGTGCCTGGGCCAAAGGGGCTAAACTTGGGTTCCCTAGGAGGCCAGTTGATCTCAAATCCAGTCCAGAATCCCACAAACACAGCCCTTGTTATTTTTAGTTGAGAGGAAGTGGTGAGGCCAGGAGTAAGGAATTAAAGTGAGTGCACAAAACAGATGAGAAGAGCCGGTTGAGTGCTGCTTTTCTCAGTTTGGATATGCAGAATTAGGAGTGTATCAAGCCTAACTGATATTTGAGAGACTAAATAATGATATCATTGCATTATAGTCCATAGACTAAAGCAAATATCCATGAGTCCAAACCGATAAAAATAAATTATTGAATAAATAAATAAATGGGGGAGAAGGAAAAGCCCTTCCTCATGGTAGAATTCCAATACATAAATGTAGAAGTGATAGAGATAGAAAATCACCTTTTGGCAAATGCCACGGTAATATTGATTCAGGCATGAATTATCATGGATGCTGTTAATCAAACGAGTGGATGAAAGTATGATGAGAAATGGGATACGTAGTCTCAAAGTGTCGCCACACAAGATACTTCTTGATTGCAGAGGGACAAGCAATAGCTTGACAGTGGGAAAGCCCAGCTAGCACCGCCTAACCAGGGGATCAATGTTGTATCACCAGCAATGAGACGTGTTGTCCTCATGTGCCTCCTGCTATGCTGCCCTGAGAAGGACACATCACTTCCGTGGTTTTCTTGTCAAAAATGCATAACCTGAATTTAATCTTAAGGAAACACCAGACAAATCCAAATTGAGGGACATTCTACAAAATAACTGGCCAGTATTCTTCAAAAGGGTTAAGATCATAAAAGACAAATACTAACAAATACTACCCCAGATTGAAGGAGATGCGACAACAAAATGTAACGTGCAGTCCTGGTTTGGATACTAGCCTGGAAATGGGACATTAACAGGCCAATTGATGAAATTTGAATGAGGTCTGTAGCTTAACTAATAGTATTGAATCTGTTAATTTCCCAGTTTTGGTAATTATATTATGGCTTTGATAAATGATGAGGTTAAAAAATTTAAAAATCAATTGAAAAAGAAACCCAATGAAATCATCCAAATGATAGAACATGTTAGCCATTAAAAATGATAATTTTTCCAATTACTGTGTGTGAACTTGAAGAAGTGCTCTAAATTGACAAAGGACAGGTTATAAAACAGTATGTATAATATGACTCCGGTTTCATAAATAATAATTGTGTGTATACATGCATGAAAAGATTAGAAGGGTCCTTAGCAAACTATTAACATTGATTTTCTCTGAGATGGGTAAGTGAGAATTTTATTTCCAAAAGGTAACTGATTTTCTTCCCCATTAAGTGCTTTACAGTGAGATAATTTGTCCCTGGTACATGGAGGAGAGTTAAGTGTAAATTAGTACAATCATGTTGTAAAGTATCATCCGCTTGTATACTCCAGGAGAACTTCTTACCTGTAGAGGGTAAGAGGGCTTTTTCTTTATACCAGCTTGGAGAGTGGGGATATTTGGGCTGGAATGGCTCCTACAGTTCTAGCCCCTCTCTCTCACTTCATAGATCTGTGAACTGAGCATGGGAGAGATTGTATGACTTACACAGCAGTGTGTGGGGTGGGCAGCTGTGCTCAGGTCCTGGGTCTGGGTGTATTAGGCACATAACTTCATCTTCGTGCCTCAGTGTCTTCACCTGTGGTGCTAGTGTGTGCTCATTGCGTTTTAGCTGTCACCATCAACGTGGCGATATGGCTGCTTTAAAGGGAAATGATTTGCTTTGCTTATATTCAGAACCATTCACGAGCCATGTAGGTTTTTTTGCCCAAATATTTTTTAATATCACTAACAGGTCATTGTATTAAAGTCTAAAATATTCCATAGAAACAGTTTTCCAAGCCCCAGTTTAATTCATTTATTTCAAGTAATAATATAGTCCCTTGGAGTTCATTGTAACATGATTTGACCTGTAAAAAACTTATCCAGCGGGAGTAGCAAATTCAAGGCACCCAACAGATTCTTAATTCTCACAAATTACTTTGCTGATGGCATGAGAATGGGCTGCTTTTTCTGTGTTCACACTCTTTGTTATTTTGGTTCTGATTTTTTTAACGTTACATCCATCCTTCCTCACTTACTTGTGCTCTGCGAGGAATTGATTTTTTCTTTCTTCTTCTCTGTGTAGTAACACCTTTTGAATGTCAGAATCTCCTAACATCACACAGTGTCACATTGATACTGTTGTACTAACATATTTACCGTTTCTAGTTTGGTTTCAGCGTAGTCTCACAAAGTTGATGTTGAGTACAGATGACTCTGGTTTGAATACTAAATCTTTTTCTGCTTGTGGGTAAATGTTTACTATGCAAAACATGAAAACCATACTTGTAATTGAATTTGCTACCAAATCTGCACTTAGCTTGTTGTAATTCATTCATTCAGTGTCTTTGAGCACTTTTGATGTGCAAGGTACCATTGACTTGGGGGCCTTTATCAGATTACTTCTAGTGTCTATTTTTCATTAATATTTTTTAGATAAAATATACTGTATATGTTTTAAAAATTCAAAGAGTACCAAAGATGTATATAGTGAAAAGTAAGTCCTACATTCCTCTGGTTGCATGGTTTGCTTCTCAAGATGTAGTGGTTGTTATTAACAGTTTCTTGTATTAATATATCCTCC